TCAGGGTCAGGGTCAGGGTCAGGGTCAGGGTCAGGGTCAGGGTCAGGGTCAGGGTCAGGGTCAGGGTCAGGGTCAGGGTCAGGGTCAGGGTCAGGGTCAGGGTCAGGGTCAGGGTCAGGGTCAGGGTCAGGGTCAGGGTCAGGGTCAGGGTCAGGGTCAGGGTCAGGGTCAGGGTCAGGGTCAGGGTCAGGGTCAGGGTCAGGGTCAGGGTCAGGGTCAGGGTCAGGGTCAGGGTCAGGGTCAGGGTCAGGGTCAGGGTCAGGGTCAGGGTCAGGGTCAGGGTCAGGGTCAGGGTCAGGGTCAGGGTCAGGGTCAGGGTCAGGGTCAGGGTCAGGGTCAGGGTCACAGTCAGGGTCAGGGTCAGGGTACATTGCACAACATCTTGGGGCCCAACGCTTCGGTGTTCGACTTTAATAAATGTTTTGAGTTTAAAATCTAATTTTCATTTGTAGAACTAGAAAAAATTAAACTTCATGACAATGCACACGTTCACCGTACATCCGGGATATTTAGGGTAGCCGATCGTTTTTAAGGTCGTTGTTATATGTTCGCTGATTATATCGTTATCATGGTTATTACAAGTAATAGCTGCACTGGCACGAAAATCAATTTTCGTATCAGCCACAGCTACAAGGATCATCTCCCAATAAAAATCAAACAAATAATTTTACTTGTTTATTTTGGCATACTTTCTAACATACATATCAGTATCTCTAGACAGATCGGTCAATCTCTTTGACTATGAACTGGAAGTGGATATTCATAATAAGTCTACTGGTGACAAAGTCTAGATCCAGCCCAGGAACTAATCCTGATGTACAAGATATGGAGAAAATGGAGGAAGAAAATCCACCCGATAGTGAGTACTGGATGGGTTATGTCTCTATCTCTATCGATTGATCTACCAATAGGCATATAATATTCGATAAGTAATTTTCATTAGTCACACATAATATCAAATATAGATTCCAAGAACATTTTTAGGACACAATAACGATTATTTTGACAAGAAAAAACAAGTTACGATGTGTATTCTGGTGAGGCATATTTTTGAACACGTGACATGTCAATTAACTTATCATCTTCACTATTTTAGAGCAATCAAACCCCAGAATCACTATCATATGCTTCACCTCCCCACCAGAATCCACATCGGTAAAGCAGATAAAAACTATAATTGGCAAGGTCACGAAAAATTCATCTGCGATAAAAACCCAACATCATCATCTTTGATTTCAGAGATAGAGCCGGGTGGGACTTGCAAGATAGTGGCATTGAGAGGGTTCTTGAAACTTAAATGTACGGATACTAGCAACCTTACTTATTTCAAATGCAGTCAGAATGACGGTCAATATCAAGTAAAACACCTACCTGAAAAAGAACTTGATTGTTCGGAAGGAGAAAATAAAATTATGTTTGATAAGATCTGTGAAAAAGATACCGGATTTTATCAGATTTGTGGCCATCAGAGGTGCGAAAATGACATCCAGAAGAATCGGGAAGACATGCTTTGTGGAGACTTTACATGTAAAACTAACAGTCTGTGGAACGGCATAGTTAATAGGCGCGTAACTTGCAATGAAAAGCAGGATTGTCCGAACACAGAAATAGACGAAAGCATATGTGACTTTGAGTTTGACTGCAGAGTATACTCACCATGGAAAAAGGAATTCGTCCCAGAAAATGTTTTATGTGACGATAAATGCGATTGTTCAAACTGTGCTGATGAATCACTCTTAGGCAATAATCGGTGTGAAAGTGAAAATCCAATCGGTATGTTTTGCAACAAAACTTTCAAAACGATTATAAAAGAAGTATATATTGAGCCTAGAATGGTTTGTGACAATATCACGCAATGTGACAACGAAGCGGACGAACTCAATTGTGAAGAAGAAAGTGAAGAATCCTGTACTTTTTTCAACGTCAATACAAAGCCAAGATTGTTCAGACTCCAAAAGCGTCCACTTGTACCAATACACAAGTGTTCGGTTCCCAACTTTTGGAACTCCGATGTTAAGATGGTCTGCAATGACTTTTCTGATCAGATTAATTGTCCTAACAAAGCAAAAATTGGACTAAAATGCTTGAAAATAAACGGTTCAAAATCAATAAGTTTGTCAAAATACTTGGTAAATTGCAAAACGAGGCAAAGGATTAATATATCAATCAGGAAAAACAGTAATACTCTTATCAACGACACGAGAAGTTTGAAACCCTTTTGCACTGACTCTATAGACGCTAAATGTCACAATCTAGGTTATGGCTGCATAGTTCACAAACACAAAATGTGTGATAATCATACAGATTGTCCTTTAACTAGAAGAGACGAGATTGATGACATTTGTAATGACATGGAAACAGTGAATTGTACCAGACGGGTTGGGGGAATAAACTGGTCGATTCCTTCAAAATGGGTAGGAGACGGTGTTAAGGACTGTGAAGATGGAAAAGATGAGAACACAGAATTTTGGGAAAATCATACAAAAAATTACACCTACTGTCATGGCGACGAAAACGACTGGAGCTCAGTCAGATCAGACAATTGCTTAAACGAAAAGTTCTACTTTTGTTCAAATGGCACCAGAGAAAAAGTTAATTACAAAAAGCTCTGTGACAGAATTCCATCGTGTGGAAGTGAGGAACGGGTCTGTAGAGTTGCTCGAAACCAAGACATCCTCCAAACAAAATTGTATTCTATCTCTAGTTTACAACAAATGCCGAGACTTAGCTACTGTATTCCAGGGATGGAAAACATGGCGTTTCTTGACCACGCATGTAAGGACATCAATGTCACCACTACATCAAAAAGCGATCTCATCTTCGGCGTGAAACAGTATATGGCTATACTTCCGAACAAAACCTTGAACTGCAAATTTTTGTTTGGAAATCCGTATGTGATGGCCGCTTGTAACAACCAATGCGATGATAAGAACACGATCTGTAAATTGAAAACACTCAGTCATGACTCTTGCATAAACGAGATCGTAGACACTGACAGGATATACACAGTTGCCACTCCCAAGCGGGGGGACACATTCCTAACTGTGGTCCAAAAAATAGGATCTCCGGAAGTTGGATATCATTTTATAAACCCAAATCTTTTTGAATGTGAAAGTGGTGCTTGTATTAGCTACGATAAGGTTTGTAATCTTGCAAATGACTGTGGGGATTGGTCCGACGAACAAGACTGCTCAAATCAGTTTTCTTGCAATGAAAGTGAAACAGGAGAGAGGATTCCTTGGAATAGATATTGTGACGGAGTATTCGACTGTTCAGACCACAGTGATGAATGTGGAAAAGACTGCTCGAATTACCATGAAATTATAGAAGGGTCGTTTCTGGTAGGCTGCTCTTGGTGTTTTGGCATATTGGCTACTATCTTAAACCTGATTGCGATAATAGCCACGATTTTTCAAATACTTCAGGAGAAATCCATGGTTAAAATAAGTAACCTTGCTATGGTTGTCTTCGTAGGATTAGGGGATCTGTGTGTAGGTTTGTATCTTGTTGCAATATCTATAATCGATCATAAATATAATTATCAGAATGGAGACTCCAACTTTTGTCAAGAATTCTATAAATGGCTCACTTCTGACACTTGCTCTGCCCTGGGAATTCTCAATACATTTGGTTCTCAACTCTCCCTTTACTCGATGACCTTACTAAGTATGCTTCGAGTATTTTGTATCAAGAACTCAAGTTTAAGGGGAGACATCGCCTGGAAAGGAAAAACAGTGATAGTACTTGTCTGTTTCAGTTTGATTCTCTCAGCTGCAACTATTGCGTTAATTCCTTTGCTTCCTCAACTTGAAGATTACTTTGTCAATGGACTAGCTTATTTTAACAACCCAATGCTCACAGGATCTCATGATAAAGATAAACATATTGCCATTCTCAGAGAACATTACGGTAAATTCAAAGTACAAAGTCTCAGCTGGAGACAGATTATGGATATGGTCGCTGACATGTTTTCAAGGTTTGACAACAGCCCAGTGATTGGCAGCAAAGTTAACTTCTATGGAAATTCAGGTGTTTGTCTATTCAAGTTCTTCGTAAGAGAAAATGACCCTCAGAAATTGTTCACTTGGTTTGTTATCATACAAAACGCTCTGTGCTTCTTAGCTATCACAATATCATACATAATAGTCTATATCACTGTGGACAAATCTTCCAAAAGAGTATCGAAAGGAACCAATCCAACATCATCCGTAGTTGCCAAGAAGACGTTACCCACAGCATCAGGGAAGCAGTCTAGCAGAACCAGTGTACTAAATCGGAAGATAACCTTAATGATCCTCACTGATTTCATATGTTGGGTCCCCTTCATAGCTGTTTGTACTCTCCACTATTTAGAAGTGATCGATGCGACTGAATATTATTCTATATTCTCTATAGTAATCCTACCTCTGAACTCAGTAATCAACCCTCTACTGTACGATAACAGTGGCATTATCGACTATTTTCAAAGGTTATGCACTAAAATGTCCAACAAAGTTGGTATCACTAAGTCTCCAAAAATAGATGCTTCTGTGGTGGGTTATGGGACTGAGTTGGCTCCTACAGAACTGGCAACAGAAAACATGAATGCTGATATTGTCGAATTAGATAATATAGCGTCTTCGAATAGGAAGAAGAACGCTAAGTAAAACATTGTCATTATATTTAAATACACTACCACTACTTCCATATTAATTGTTAATGTTTAATGATTCAGGGGTTTATGCTTCATATCCGATAGTTTTATACCATTTGTTTTATCTTTGTTAATTAACTTTATGTTCATGCCTTACTCATGCCTTACTGATCATGCCTTTCTCATTGTGCACTTAAAATATATTATATAAGCATGTGTGTCCACTGTCCATGCGGTATATAAACTACATTTGCCGCATTCGAAGCACCGCAGTAAAAAACAGAAGAACCGAATAGTACCTGAAGGGGAGATATAAAAACACAAGAATAGTACCTGAAGGCGAAATATAAAAACACAACAACAGTACCTGAAGACGAGATCTCTCATCCTTGATGTCCATCTCCTGTTTGTCGAGAGCTCTCTTCAGATCGTGTAGGTACTCGCTCATAACTTTAGCAGCCTTCTCCCGCTCCTCCAACGTCACTGTCCTGAGAAGAGAGAAAACAGTGAGAAGATGGAGGAGTAGTTGGGTCTATAACAGTGGGTGATAGAAAATATTTTTCCTTGCTTTTGAGATTGAGTAATGAGTATCTGTTTAAATAAAACGATTAGCAGGAGCTCAGGGGCTTGCTTGAATGCATTCACTATCGGCCCGTTATAACAACGAAGACCATGTAAGAACTTTTGATAGCTTGATTAAGATTCAAAAGCGAATCAAGACGGGAAAAGTCCTGAGGAGAATATTGCGTTGACGTATATTCGTTGTACGAACACAAGGCAAAGTCTAATGTAAAAATTGCAAATTCATATTTCCACTTTTCCAAGACCAGTAACCATTAACCAACCTGTTAATATCCAACTTGGCAGTGAGAGTACCAATCTCATCCGCACTGAGATTTACTTTATCAGTCAACTCCTTCAACTTAGTGGTCGTCTGCTGAACACTCAAAACCGCACACAGCTCATCTTTTCTCTGTCTCTGCTGCTCCTCCAGCTCCCTCTCGTGTTTCTGTCTAAGTGAACTCAGCTCACTTTCATGTGATGACGTCATAGATTGGAGTCTGTTTTCGTATCTCTGTTCTGTTTCTTCTACTCTCATCTCCCATTTCCGGAGTTGGGACGAGTTTTCTTCCACTAACATAGCTTCTTTGTCTTTTAACCTTCGGAAGGAGGTTTGATTCATATTGTGAAGTTAATTCATGCTGTGAATCTGTGAAAATTATGTCTGTGGGGCATTTTGTCAGTTTTTTTGCACTACAATGTAAGGAAATGTATGATGGGGTATGGTTACATAACGTTTTACCTCTAAGATTGCCGCTGTTAAAAAAGATCTGATTAAAAAACATTAATACTCAAAATTAGACAAGGGCACTTTCAAAAACTATGTTAACGAATCTGTCACGGAAAAAATGTCATCTTCTAGAAGCTCTCATTTGGTGGATATATCCACCAAATGAGTATATATACTCAATATTTTGATCAAACATGTGACATCTACAAGTTTGCGATTGTGAAGTTATATCAATTATTGTTCAGTCTCCATCATATTTTAGGAGTTTGGATGGAATTAAATATTTTTTAAGGCCACCTGAAGTGGATTGGTCTGTTTCACTTTTACCCACCAGATTTAGCCCTGAATCAAAACAAAAAGGGGCAGAAAGTAAAGGTTAGGGTATTGCACACCATATCCTGGAGTTTCATCCCGTTCCAAAAATTATCCATCAAATTATGCAAAAAGAAACTGATTTTTGGCAAATTTTAATTTTTTTTTTTCGTGACAGATGTTTTTGGAAGCGCCCACAATCTTATTTGATACCTTTGGGAGGCTGATTTAATTTCGTTTTGAATTATTCTCTCCTTCTCGTCAAGAAGGGAATTTAAGCCATCTATCCTATCTTTGTGATGCTTTTCTAATGAACCGATAGAGTCCTTGTATTTTCTTTCTGTTCTCTGTTCTACTGTCTCCAAGTCTGCTGTTGCTTCGTGCAGTCTGATTAAAGTATATTAAAATTATTTCATCTCAGATTTGGTATGCAAAAACATCAATATCTTTCCGTATCAATCGCCATTTTTGTGATTATTTATCGAGTCGAACATAATATATAAAACGCTTTTCTTATTCTGATTAGAAGCCTCAAAGCTAACCTCGATTTGGCCGAAGAAACTTCTTTTTCTTTTTCTCTAAGTTTCATCTCTAAGTCTCCTACTTTCGCTCTGAGCTCTTCTAATTCATTGTTTAAACTGCCGGAAGTTTCTGAGTATTTCATTGTCGATTCGTTCAAGTTTCGTTCCAACTTTTCTTTCTCTGCCTCTAATTCGGAGATTTTCTTTTCAAGAACACCGTTTTGCTTTAGTATCATCTGTGTCGCGTTCCCTCCTGTAGCTTCCGCCTGCAAATAGCTGGTTTAGAATTTTATATTCAAAACGATCGAAGTATTTATTTATCCCTCATTTTACCAAAACCCATAATCATGGGTAGAGTGGACCGTTGCCAGTGTCTCTCTTTCCTAAACAAAAGGAAATGATATTAATTTGATTGACCGTTCTCAAATGCAAAATGATACCGAGAATGAAATCGGTCGCTCGCTTTTCCCATTCATTCACGGCTTACGAATTGTATAAATAAGTTTCGATTGATTACATCAATCAGATGCTGTAAAAATCTCTTTGGGTTGCGTTCGGGTCGATACCTAGTATTTCGGGGTAAGGGACAAGGGTGGTAGTTATTACTTATTGAACAAGCTGAAGTTTACTGAATCTTCATTGCCGAGTACAGCTGCCTTTGGGTAGATCTTCTTAATCTATTGCAATTGTAAATGAATGGGAAAAGCGAGCGACCGATTTCATTCTCGGTATCATTTTGCATTTGAGAACGGTCAATCAAATTAATATCATTTCCTTTTGTTTAGGAAAGAGAGACACTGGCAACGGTCCACTCTACCCATGATTATGGGTTTTGGTAAAATATCATCTCTTTTTGATTATGATGTCAGGGTACTTTATAAAGTCGAAATATAAACTGATATCTTCATTAATAAGGAGGAAGTTTCAACGATTTCGAAATTTTTCCTTTAAAAACATTTCCTTGTGTTTAGGGAAGCATATCGGTCGATCACTGACTGAATATGCCACTTAATACTGGCATTAAATTCATATATAATGACATTAAACTGTCGTGGCAAAGCAGAATTTGTTGGAAATCACGAATGAGCAAAATTCTCACCTTTCGCACGTGCAAACTTTGAGCGGACGTTGCGTGCGCATCCAATATTGAATCGCCGTAAATTTTGGCATGTAATTGTTTTATATATAGCTTGATAAGCATGCAAAGTTTCAAAGTATTTCAAGAAGAACTGTAATCACAACGGCACTCTAAAGTTGACAGAAAATGACGAAAACAGCAATTTTCAGTGATTTTAGCAATTTTCTATCAATTTGGGCGTGTCCCCACGTGTGCAACTTTTCGATTTTCAACTTTAAAACTAGCCTAATGCACAATTTATACCTATAGGAAGCAGAACTGAGCTCCACAATTCAAGGCATGGCCCAACACCAAGAATACTAAATCGCAAAATTGACGTTTTTATAAAATAATTCTTCAAAAAAGCACAAACTTCAATGACGAATATCTTTATGAAGGAGCAAGCTAGAACAACTTTCCGGTAGATTTTCAGAATGCTTGAACAATTATCTAAGGTGAAAATTTCCTCAGATTTTAAATAAAATTATTCCTTAATGGTTTAAAATTAATTTTAAAAGTTATTACTTTGTCAAAAATCAAGTTTTAAAAACGGTTAACTTGATGACGTCATCAAGGGGTGTTTATGACGTCAAATAATTTTTTTATTCAATGTAAACTAAAGTGTAAACAATTATTTGCAAGACCTGTGGTCGGAAATGGCTGTATCTTTTATACTTTTGAATCTATGGACACTTAAATACAGGCTACAATTGACTGGCAAAGCGTCTATCCCTGAATATATATATAATATATATATATATATATGTATATATGTATTTGACCAAAACCCATAATCATGGGTAGAGTGTACCGCTGCCAGTGTCTCTCTTTTCCAAACAAAAGGAAATGATATTAATTTGAGGAACAGTCCGCTAATGCAAATTGATACCGAGAATGAAATCGGTCGCTCGCTTTTTCAAATCAATAAGCTTTATTACAATTCGTAAGCCGTGATCGAATGGAAAAAGCGAGCGACCGATTTCATTCTCGGTATCAATTTGCATTAGCGGACTGTTCCTCAAATTAATATCATTTCCTTTTGTTTGGAAAAGAGAGACACTGGCAGCGGTACACTCTACCCATGATTATGGGTTTTGGTCAAATATCATCTCTTTTTGATTATAATGTCAGGATAATTTACACAGCTAGTCGAAACTTCATTAACAAGGAGGTAATTTCGACGATTTCGAAATTCTGCCTTTGAAAACGTTTCCTTGTGTTTAGTTAGGTATTTCTGTCGATAACCGACTGAATATGGCACTTTTTACTCATTCAAGTTGGCATTAAATTCATATATAATGCCATTTAAATATCGTGGAAAGCAGAATATATTCGAAATCACGAATGAGCAAATTTCTCACCTTTCGCACGTGCAAACTTTGAGCGGACGTCGCGTGCGCATACAATATTGAATCACCGTAAATTTTTGCATAGTGGTATTTAATATATAGTTTGATAAGCATGCAAAGTTTCAGAAGATTTCAAAAAGAACTTGGATCACAGCGGGACTCCAAAGTTGATAAAAATCGTGAAAATCAAAATTTTTAGCGATTTTAGCGATTTTAAATGAATTTGGGCGTGTCCCCACGTGTGCAACTTTTCGATTTTTAACTTTAAAACTAGCCTATAACACAATTTACACCTTTAAGAAGCAAAATTGAGCTCCACAACCCAAGGGATGGCCCAACACCAGAGAATACTAATTCACAACTTTTGTGTTTTTATAAAATTATTCTTCAAAAAAGCACTAACTTCAATAGCAAATATCTTTATGAAGGAGCAAGGTAGGAAACTATTCCGGTAGATTTTCGGAATGCTTGAACAATTATCTAAGATGAAAATGTCCTCAGATTTTGAATAAAATTACTCCTTAATAGTGTAAAATCGATTTAAAAAGTTGTTACTTTGTCAAAAGTCAAGTTTTAAAAACACTTAACTTGATGACGTCATCAAGTGATGATGATGACGTTAAATTATTTTTCAATACAATGTAAACTAAAGCTTAAACAATTATCTTTAAAACCTGTGGTTCGAAATGACTGTATCGTTTATACTTTTGAATCTACGGACACTTAAATGTAGGCTACAATTGACTGCAAAAAGCGTCTATACATACATATATATCTTCACGACAATCTGTTGTAAAACAGGGGTTCCAGAAAACCCACTTCCCGATACTCCTGAAACATGACATTTTTTTTACAGTCGATTTGGACAAGGTCTAGACGCCCTGCAAAGTTTCAGATCTCTAACTCAATTTTAACATGGTTTTTAAGGCACCTGAATATGGCGATTTTGGGTTTTTTACCTAATTTCGTATAACATGCTGGCGCGTATTTTGCGCAAATTTCTTAAAAACCTCCATACAACTATTTCTTATTCCTGTCATCTTCAACATTGAATTAGAATGTTTTGAACTTAAATGTACCTGCTGAACTACTTTCGATGAGTCTTAATGCCTGGAAAACAATAAAGGGGATATAATCGTATAGGGGGTAAATAGTGTTGTGAATATAAGGGCGACGGTAATGCTTGCCAGCATTGTGATCACGACAATCTATCGTAAAACAGGGGTTCTAGAAAACCCGTTTCCCGATGCTCCTGAAACCTGAAACTTTTTTTGCAGTCGATTTGGTCAACGTCTAGACGCCCTGAAAAATTTCAGATCTCTAACTCAATTTTAACATGGTTTTTAAGGCACCTGAATATGGCGATTTTGGGTTTTTTACCGAATTTCGTATAACAGTGCTGGCGAGTATTTTATGCAAATTTCTTAAAAATCTCAACATAACTACTTTTTATTCCTGTCATCTTTGACATCAAATTAGAATGTTTTGAACTAAAAATAAATCTGCTGAATGACTTCCGATGAGTTTTAATGCCTGAAAAACTCCTGCCGGAGGCGGCGGCCTTCGGCCGCCGCCTCCGGCTGGAGTGCACGCTTCGCGTGCACGAAAGAGGCTTCCGACGAGTACCAAAGGGGTTATAATAGTAAAGGGGGTATAATAGTAAAGGGGGTACAATAGTAAAGGGGGTACATAGTATACCCCCAATAAAGACACCGCTCGTGCTTGCCAGCACTGTGATATAATAGCTAACCAACAATTTGTAATGTACATGTTGCATATCTCAGGTCATACATAAAAATGCCTTACCGGACGTTATTTGACCGGACATTGCGTGAACGGATATAATTTTGAACGGACATTAAAATGAACACTCAAAGGCATTCATTTAATGTACTTATAACTACCTTGTTGGACTTTATTTTAATGGACATTAAAATGAACGCTAGGGCCTCCAGCGTCCAACACCCATATTTCATATTAGGCACGTATATGTGAAATTTGTATCTCAGCTTCTGGACGGCCTAAAATGACCGCAATGCGCATGTTTATATTAGCACTGTGAAGGGTATGAAAGCCCAAAATGCTCACTTTTGGAAACAATCCAGAAAAACTGATTTTCACTGGAGTGCGAATAAACAGATCTATTCTTCTAAGCTAAGTGAAATCGAGTATGCATTTCGGTGTCTACTACTTTTCTATATAATACAAGGTCCTTTTTAAGGTCATTCTGGATCAGTATTGATCATGATTCATGATGAGGTACGCAATTTTATCAGTAGTTCCAACCCTAGAAGCAAAATTTCTAAATTACCCTCAGGCGCAAATATATGAATTTTGTATTTCGGCCTCTGAACGTTGTAGGAGCATCTCTTTTAGCTCAAACTAACTACTACTACTAACTACTACTACTACTACTATGTTGACGTACTAAGTCCGATCTACGCCAGATAACCCCCTCCGTATATCCCTGTCCCGCATCAGGGTTCACAGTTCCTCTTTAGAGTTTGTCCCAACTTCCTTCAGTAACATAGACGAGTAGCTTTGTCTTGGTCGGCCTTGCTGTGCTCTACCATTCATAGGTTCCCATAAGACTAAATCACTGGCAAGTAGCTCAGGATATCTGATGCAGTGTCCCGCCTTTTTTAATCTCCTGCTTCGTAACTTGTTTGACAGCCTTGGTAGGCTACCATACAAAGTTATATTGCTGACCTTGTCCTTCCATGAGATACCCAGCACCCTGCACCATACGCAGCATCTTTGTGTATGTCCTGTCCAAACTTTTCTCTTGAGCCTTTGTTAG